TAGACATTTAGACCAATTAAAAGTCCAGGAAATCAAAAACTAATGATGTAATGTATGGTGATTAACATAACATAAAAAAATTTAAAAAATAAAAAAATAAATAAAAAGTCCAGGGGCGCCTGGGTGGCTCAGTCAGTTAAGCATCTGACTTCAGCTCAGGTCATGATCCTGGGATCCTGGGATCAAGCCCCGCGACCCGGCTCTGCGCTCAGTGGGAGTCTGCTTCTCCTTCTGCCCCTCACCCAGCTTGTGCTCACTCTCTCAAATAAATAAAATCTTTAAAAAAAAATAAATAAGATTGGGGCGCCTGGGTGGCTCAGATGGTTAAGCATCTGCCTTCGGCTGAGGTCATGATCCCAGGGTCCTGGGATCGAGTCCCGCATCGGGCTCCCTGCTAGGCGGGGAGCCTGCTTCTCCCTCTACCTCTACCCCTCTCTCTCTCTCTCTCTCTCTCTGACTCTCATGAATAAATAAATAAAACATTTAAAAAATAAATAAATAAATAAGATTAAAAAAAATAAAATAACGCGATGCTCGAGGCACCTGGGTGGCTCAGCTGGTTAAGCCTCTGACTTTGGCTCAGGTCATGATTCCAGGATCCTGAAGTCGAGCCCCACATCGGGCTCCCTGCTCAGCAGGGAGCCTGCTTCTCCCTCTCCCTCTGCTGCTCCCCCTGCTTGTGCTCTCTTGCTCACTCTCTCTCTCTCTGTCAAATAAATAAATAAAATCTTAAAAAAAAAAATTGAAAGTCCAGAAATAAATCCATATATTTATGGGCTATTAATTTTTAACAAGGATGCCAATACATTCAACGGGGAAAGAAGGATCTTTTCAATAAATGGTGCTGGGACAACTCGACATCCACACGCAAAAGAATGAAGAAGGACCCTTACCTTACGCCATATATAAAAATTAACTCAAAATGGATCAGATGTAAATGTAAAACTCTAATTTTCTTAGAAGAAAACACAGGAATAGTACATGTCTGTGACCTTGAATTAGGCAACAGTTTCATAGCTACGACACCTAAAAGCACAGCAACCAAAGACAAAATAGAAAACTGGACTTCATCAAAACTGAAAACGTTTGTGCTTTACAAGGACACTACCAAGAAAATGAAGAGACAATCCACAGAAAGGAAGAATGTTTTAAAAATCATGTATCTGATAAGGGTCTAGTCCAGAATACATAAAAAATTGTTTCAATTCTACAATAAAAAAACAACTCAACTTTAAAAAATGGGAAAGAATGAGGACAAGGGCTTACAAACTAAGTAGAAGAAAGACTGGGGCACCTTGGTGGCTCAGTCAGTACAGTGAGCGACTCTTGATCTTGGGGTCCTGAGTGTGAGCCCCACGTTGGGTGTCGGGAAGGGGAGGAAGGGGGGGAGGGGGAGGGGAGGAAGGGGGATGGGGGAAGGGAGGGAGAAGAAAAGGAAGTTAGAAAGAAGGGGCCAGGTCCCTCATCTCGTTGTTCAGCCTCCTCACACAGACTCACCCTGTCTTAGAATGAACTCTCACCTGTTTGAGCTACTGCAGCAGGGTTTCCCGTTATTTGCAGCCGAATATATCCTGACTGAGAACATCAACCTCAGCTAAATCACCTCACACTTGGCAGAGGGGAACAAGTCCTGTTGGTTCTACCTTCAGTCACTTTTCACCTTGCCACTGACAGCATCACGACAGAATCCGCCCCCATCTCTCACCGGACCACTTTAACAGCTTCTAACTGGTTTCCTGCTTCCGCCTCTGCTCCCCTTCACTCTGTTCTCAACCCGTATTCACTGTAAAATGGAACTCAAATCCTGCCACTCCTCCCACCAAACCCTGCAATGACTTCCCACCGCACCTAGAATAAATGCCCATGTCTTTAATCCACCTACAAGGGAGGGCCGACTCATCTGGTGTGGCACTCCGCTCCCTCTCTGAGCCCACCCCCTACTAAGAGTCTCCCTCTCACTACTTTAACCAACCAAACCGACCTCCTTGGTATTCCTCAAACAGGGGGCCTTTGGACCTCTTCCCCTGCCTGGAATGCCCCTCCTCCATACACCTTCACAGCTCTATCTCTGACCCTCTCCAGGTATTTACTCAAAAGTCACAATCTCAATGGCCCTTCCCTGGACACCCTATCTAAGATGTCAACACTTTGTCAATGCTGACATTTCCTAGTTCCTTCCCCTGCTTTGCTAGTCCTCCTTCGTTTATCACTCTCTAACATACTCTGTATTTTGCTTATCCATCTGGTTTATTGTCTATGTCCCTCACTGAAATGAAAACTTCACGAGGGCAGAGCTTTAACTGTTGACTGCGGCAGCCCTGCAGCTATTACCACAGAGGCATACATTAGATGTTCAGTAAATATTTATCGATGAATGAAGAATTAAAGTCAGGGGGAAACCACGTGGGGATCTGATGGACAGTAAGAAAGTACCAAACGCAAATGTCATGGCCTCATAATTACAGTTAGGACCATCCCCCCCTCCGCATCCCCCCTGCACGCCAGCCCTGCTGAGACTGTAGCAGGTCCCACCCAGCACCCCTGCATCCTACATGCTGAGCATCGAGCAGGCACTCAAGATACTTCAACTGAGACCCACGCATGGCTGTGACACTGCAGCGCCACACAACAGAGAACCATAAAAATAGAACAGATACTTTCTAAATTGTTTTTGGACAATCCTACTTTGGCGAATGGATTTTTCAGCTGAAGCACCTGAACAGAAATGCCAAGATCCAAACTTGTAAGCAGAGTTTGTTACTCAAAATTAATGAACACCTGCTTTCTCAACAGCAAAGTTCCAACAAATATGATATTTATGCATTTTATTTAAAATAACTACAATTAGGCCAATGTAGTTGATTTCAGAGCATGCTAAGAAACTTTAGAAGTTACTATTCTGAAATACTTCTGTTTTAAATAACTTAAAATCTATCTTCATATATGCATGGCTTATATCTGTTAGGATACACAAGGAAAAGTATAATAGAGCTTGCCTCTGGGAATAAGGTACTCAGGAAAAAGGAGTGGGAGAGAGACATTTTAATTCCTACCTTTTTGTAATTTTAGAGTTTGCATCATGTGAGTGCACTACTTACACGAAAATAATAGATTACACTTTTAAAATAAGTCAATCACACAATACCTTAAAATAAAGTAATAAAACAACATCTATCTACTTTTGTCAAGGCAGCTTTAGAAAGAAACCTCTTTGTACCCATATTTTGAAGATAAGCAAATTCAGGTTTGTCAAATCAGCATAAGAAACAGATGGCAGATTTTTAGACTGACCCAGTGTTTGAACAAGCCCACAGACAGTGACAGCAGTAAGGTCTCTCTTCCCACCAGAGCCCTGCTTAGCGCTTCCTGTCACACAAGATCCAGGCAATGTGTGAACTTGCATGACATCTACCTCCTGGAGAAGCACTACAAGAAAAGTCTGCAATGAATTATGATTATAAATTACTTGCCGTAGAAATAAGTCAAATTGTTTTTAAAAAATGTTTTATTCTTGGGCGCCTGGGTGGCACAGTCGGTTAAGCATCTGCCTTCGGCTCAGGTCATGATCCCAGGGTCCTGGGATCAAGCCCCACATCGGGCTCCCTGCTCAGTGGGGAGTCTGCTTCTCCCTCTGCCTCTCTGCCTGCCACTCCCCCGTTTGTGCTCTCTCTCACCATCTCTCTCTCTCAAATAAATAAATAAAATCTTCAAAAAAAAATGTTTTTCTCTATGCATCCAAGAAGGTTTTTCACCTATTAAAATAAAAATTAATTTATTTCTAAAATTTTATCCTAACATGTAAGTCAACATTACTCCTGGAATCCTCATTGTCTAATTAAACTCTCAAGACACAGCAAGGATCACGTCAGAAACATAACGAGTAAGAAAACATTACTAAAACTGAGAGGAAGCTCCTTAAAGGGGCTGCCCCTTGAAAACTGTCCTCATTAAATGCCACCATGTGCACATCCTGATGGAAAATGCAATGCCCCGAGGGGGAAGGCCTCACGGAGACTTTGGCGGGGAAAGTACTTGGGTTCTGCGGGAAGGTATGGTCTCCAAGCACAAGCAACAGAGACCCCTAGCTTTCAAACAGTAGCAGGACGTGTCCAAAGAAGGAAACAGGAGCCGCCCATGGGGACCGCAGGCAAGAGGGACCACAGCGCTGGTGTAATGCACATCCTTCATCCCTCAGCAATTAACCTCTCCCTCGGCAACGGCTTGTTTTTATGTCCAACTGAAAACAGGCAAGAAACTTCAGTCGACTCCTCCTAATAGTCACGTCAATTTTATTATTTCTCACTTCTTAATAATGACCTTCTAAGCAGCTCCCCACTTACTCGGCAACCACAACTCAAGGGTCTGCAGACCAACTTGAGCTGAGACAAGCGGGTCTCTTCCTGATGCTACCAGTGCGATTCCCGAGCTAAGCTACATGCCTCGAGAACGTGGGAAGACAGCTTGAGGCACAGGCTGTGCAAAGGGCCCCCTGGAACAGAATTCCCGCTGGGCCGGGCCCGCACTCCCGCGGCCTCCCCACCCCCGGCGGCCTAAAGGCATGATGTCATCACTCTCCCCCCATCGCTCCGGCTCCCATGCTCGTCGCGAATGTCCTGTGCCCCAGCGCTCCTCCCTCTCAGGGACGACGAGACGGAAGGGAAGTGGCGGTCTCGGCTCTTCCAAGTTCTGCTCACAGCACAGCCCGCTTCTGGCAAATACAAAGCAGCAAGTTCCTCCCCTAACTTCGCACGCCGGGAAAGGCAGAGGACTGGGGCCGTGCCCGCCTCGGTGCCCTCAGGGGAGGCCGGCGACGCCGTGCCCGCCTGCGGAGCGGCGCAGACCCACGCCAGGGGACCCGGGCATGGCCACGGGACGGGGTCTCGCCGCCGGAAGGGCGGCAGTGCGCGCCCTGAGGTCGGGGGGCCGCGGGGCCGGGGTCTGCAGGGGCGCCGCCGCCCCCGGCCGTCGCTGGGCCGGGAGCTGCAACGGGCCGTACTCACGGTCGATGCAGTGGCTCCTCGGCCACGGCCGGGCCGGGGGGCGGCGGGGGCGGCGGGGGCGGCGGCGGCTGCGGCTGAGGCAGCGGCGGCTGCGCCTGCGGCAGCGCCTGAACAGGCTGAGGCGGCGGCGGAGGCTGCTGCTGCTGCTGCTGCTGCTGTTGCTGCTGAAAGGACTTGAGGGATTCGAAGGCCTTCATCAGCTTTTCTAGGGTCGCCATGGCGACCTCCCGCCCCGCAGGGACAGGCCCCCGAGCCCTCCAGCCGACCCGCGACGCTGCTCAGCAGCGCGGCAATGAATGGGACTCGAGGCCGCGTACAGGAGCCGAACCGAGACGCCCGGCCATCTTGGACCCGTCCCGGCAGCCCCCGCGGCCGTGCGTCCCTCGACGCTGCGCCGGCGGGGCGGGGCCAGGCCGGGCCAGCGGGATTGACAGCCAGTGGCGGCCACCTCTGCCAATGGCCGGCCGAGGCGCCGGCCCAACCCCCGCCCCCGCCGGCTGGCCTCCCAGGGCCGCCTCGCCGCTGAGATCACAGCACCACTCTCGCGTGGGGGCGGGCCGGGGGCGGGCCGAGGGCGGGGCAAGGGCGGGGTAGGGGCGGAGCGGAGGATGGGAGGCGGGGCAAGGGGCGCGGCAGGGCAGAGGGCGGAGCGGAGGGTGGGAAGCGGGACAGGGGGCGCGGCGAGGAAAACACCTGCGGCGGGAGGGGGATGAGCAGAGGACGGGGGCGGGGCAGAGGGCAAGGCTGGAGGGGCGGGGCGCGGCGGGGCAGAGGACGGGGGGGGGGGTAGGGGCGGGGCAAGGGGCGGGGGCAGAAGGGGGCGGGGCGCGGCGGGGAAGCACCTGCCCCGGGAGGGGAGGGGAGGGGAGGGGCGGGGCAGAGGGCGGGGGCGTGGTGCGTGGTGCGCCAGGGTAGGTTCCCGCCACGCTGGGACCCCTGTCGCCGCGGCCTGGGGCAGCAGAGAGGACGGGCGGTGGGCTGGGAGCCGGAGAGCCCCGCAGCGAGGCGCGGGCTGAGGGAGGGGCTCACCCGGACCGCCGGGCCCTCCCTGCGGGGAGGAAAGGCGGAGTGCGTGCGCCCGGCCCAGCCCCGGAGTGCCCCTCGGGGAGGAGGGGAGCCCAGGCCCCGCCCCTGGCTGAGTCAGCCGCCCGAGGGGGAGCGGAGGGCAAGGGAGGGCCTAGGGCAGACATGGGGGCCAAAACCTGCCGGGTCGGTGCCTGCTGCGCGCAGAGGCCGTGGCTGGGGCAACGAGAAGCAGCTTTGACCCCTGAGGCGCCACCCACAGGAATGACTGCCCGACCCTAACGGGTCCCCTTCAAGGAGAGGACCCCCGTTCCAGAGGTCTGTAGGGCACCTCGTGCTTAGGGTGGGGCAGGCCCGGGAGAAGGGTCCTGGGCTCCAAAGCCTCAGCCCCTGGAGGGGAGGTCAGTGAGCCAGCAGAGGCCCACAGAAGACAGTCGGGCCTCGAGGGGCAGCCGTCCCGCCCGCCCGGCAGGGAGAGGGTTGGCCCCAGAGAGAGCTGCCGAAGGGGGGCGGTGCAGGTGATGTATGCAGTATGAATCTTCCGGATCCCACTCAGGGCAGCGCCCTCCTCCGGGCCCATAAGCCACAACTCCACCTTCTCTCGCCGTGGTCCATTGTCCCAAGCGGTGGGATAAAGGGAAGCCCGGCAGCACCACAGAAGCCTTGCCCCTGAGGGGGTAGCGACAGGGCTCCCTTCGGGGAGGCGACAGCAGATAATTGCCACCAACCTCGAGGTCCCAGTTCCCTGTGCCTCAGGCACAGCAGCCCACAATGGCCGGGCTCCAGGCTGTCAGGGGCTGTGGTCCGCAGAGCCCCCCAGTGACCCCTCCTGATGTTGATGCTATTCATGCCCTCGAACAGCCCCCTCCCGTTGAGTGTGGCCTGATCCTGGTCCCTTGCTTGTAACCAACTAAATAAGGCCAAAGTGGCGCTCCTGGGATTAGGTTACAAAAGATGAGAGTCTAACGTCTTGCTGGCTCTGTTACTTTCTTGGCCTGTACACGCTCATGAAGCAGGCCTATGTGTGTGTTCCAGAGGCCACGTGGCTAAGTCAGTGAGAAACGGGAGGCTTTCAGTCCAAAGCCCACAAAGAATGGATTCCTGCCAATACCGCGTGTGCTTGGAAGTGGGTCCTTGCCTGGTCAAGCTTTCAGGTGAGGGGCAGCTTTTACCTGATTGCAGGCTTTGCGGTGAGGCTGTGCCCGGACTCCTGACCCACGGCGGCCGTGCAGTGCTGTGCGGTGATAAGCCGGGAGGTGGCTCGTTACCCAGCAAAAGGTAAGTTTGCTGGGGCTGCTTGTAAAAAAGCTGCACGGACTGGGCCGCTCAAACCACAGAGATGTATCCTCTCCGGGTCCTGGAAGCTGGAAGTCCGAGATACAGGCGTGGGCAGGTTGGTTCTCCGGAGCCCTCTCTCTCTTGCCTGTAGATGGCTGTCTTCTCCCTTGTCCTCACATAGTCTTTCTGTGTGTGTGTCTGGGTCCTGTCAGGTCACCCACGGGTCATATTGGATTAGGGCCCACTCCGAAGACCTCATTTTATCTTGGTCACCTCTGTAAGGGCCCCATCTCCAAATACATAATCCGAGATGCTGGGGGTTAGGACTCAGCATATGATTGGGGGGTGCACGATTCGGTCATCACAACAAGTAGTACCCTTGCCTCCTAAGGGCCACTCTGGCCTTCAGCAATAGGACGTTTTACCTGGGCACTTTTTCACTTAGTTAAAAGACATTTCCCATCCTTCCTTTTAGCTGGCGGTAGCCATGTGACTCAAAAAGTTCTGGCCAGTGAGATGTAAGCACAAGTGATGGGTGTTAGTTCTGGAAAGTGTCCTTAGAAGGAAAGGGCACACCTTCTTCCTCCCGCTGCCTGGAATGGGGATATACTCGTTGGTGCTTGAGAAGTCATTTTGGGTCACAAGGGTGAAAAGCACATCCTGGCAGGACAGAGCTAGGAGCAGCCAGGGTGGAGGTGCGGCCCCCACCTGGCCCAAGGAGACTGTGAGAGAGAAATACAATTCTGTTGTGTGTAAGCTACCGGTGCTTCGGATCACTCTGTTTATACGCTCCTAAACCAAACTGTAACCAGTCCAGAGAGGCTGAGTCATGAGACCTCACTTGCCCACAACAGCTCGTGACTGCTTCAGCCAGGGCAGGAGGAAAGTCATCTGCCCAGAACTTACTATAATCCTGACAGGAAATCTTACCAGAGAGCCTGATAGAAAGGGACTGTCACAAATTAGAGCCATTAAAGATGAACACAGCTGAGTGGGCAGTTTGGCCTGGTGTCCCCAAAGCCTTAAAAACAGGCAGAGGTGATTTATATATTAATCCTTGTGTCTTTCTGTATTTTTCAAATCTTCTGCAACAAACTTTTACTATTTAGGGGGGGGGAATGTTAAACAATAGGTTTGGATGGGGAGCTAAAAATGAGAGCCTAGCAACACACTTGTGATGATCCTGCACAGGGAGAGAGGGAGATATTTAAAGCTCCCAACGCCCCCCCCCCCACAAATGGGGTATACTGCAGCTGGGGGCGGGCACCCACTCTGAATCCCAAAGCAGGTAGGAGCCCATGGGGCATGAGGCAGAGCCACAGGGAACAGGGTGAGTGGACCACAAGCTCCCAAGGGTGCCTTGGTGGCTCCTGCCCGTCTCCCCTGAAGCTTTTTCCATTTGGGAGTGTCATTGCTGTGTATTTTAATTCTATGTAAGTATACACACGCGGACCGCAGAAAACACAGACACAGTAATTGTTGGTTTGCACACTCAACGTTTGTTCAAATTGACTGCATGTTTACTGTTTTTCTTACTCATTCCCTCCTACATCTCCAATCTTCCATCTGGGATCATTTTCTTCTGCCTGGAAAACACCCTATAGAGTTACCTTTAGTGGGCCTTTTATTGCTGAAATCTCTGTTTCAGTTTATCTGAAAAAATCTTTACTTTGTCTTCATTCTCAATGGATTTTTGGTTGGGTATAGAATTCAAGGTTGGCAGATAACTTTCTGCGGCAGATGAAAGATCTGGACTTCACTGTCTTCTGCTTTTCATTCTGGCTGTTGAGAAGTCTGCTGTTGATTTCCTGGCCACTCCTCTGAGCGTGATGTGTCTTTTTTGCCCCTCTGTCTGCTTTTAACATCTTCTCGGGGTCTTCGGCTCTCTGTAGTTGCACTGCACCATGTCGGTATGTACAGAGAGACGAGCCTGCCTCTTGGCAGTGACCCTGGGGATCCCAGTTGATCAGTGATGTAGCAGTGGGCTGCCCAGCAGGAAGGGCTCAAAAGGCTGGCTGATACCCGTTCTGGAAGTTCTAGAATGCTTGATCCCTGGTGAAAGATGTCTGGGATCAGGATGTTCTTTCTAGCAGTAAAGCCACTGCCCAGAGCCTGAAGTCAGCCAGTACTGCATGGCCAGCCAGGTGTTCCCTGTTCCCTCCGAGCCCCCGTAGACACACATGATGACAGGGAGCATAGCCCCACACTTCGGCCACACGTGGCTATCAAGCATTTGAACAAAGGTAATGACTCTGCATTGAGATGTGCTGTTAGGTGTAAAATACACACCAAATTTCGAATACTTGGGACAAAACAATGACGTATCAATATGCGAAGTTCCTCTCCGGGGGGAGAATGGACAGCTGGTGTTTAGTGAGGACAGTGCCAGCTTCACAAGATCAGCGCTGGAGACGGACACTGGGGACGGCTGCACGGCCATGTGGATGTACTTAGTGCCACTGAACTGGGCACTGAATGTTAAGAGGGTAAATTTTATGTATATTTTACCACAGGAAAAAAAAAAAGAAAAAGAAACACTTTGTTTCTAATGAAACTCTTCACCAAAAGAATAATCTAGTTTTTGGTGAAACTAACAGGGAACTGTTAGACATTTTTGGCTGGAGAGGAAATTTTTTAAAATTTTCAGAAGGGCAATTTGTTCACATGGGTATATAATATATATTCTTTTAAAATGTCCATACATCTTTTGTAGAGTGTAATTGTGCTTTATTTGGGGAAAACAAACAATTTCACAATGCGATGTTTATTTTTATCTTAATAATACACAGACATGGTCAAAAGGACAAGTCAGACAGTGCTTATAAAGAAAACAGCTCTCCTCCGGCCCACTGCTGCCCGTCCCAGGAGAAACGCTTGCCAGACAGAGCCACTTTTAATCCCTTCAGCTCTTTCTTATAGGGTTTACTCCAGTTCATACACTTTATTTTTTTTTAAATTTCATTTATTTATATGAGAGAGAGCAAGAGCAAGAGAGATCACAGAGGGAGAGGGAGAGGGAGAAGCAGGTTCACCACTGAGCAAGGAGCCTGACGTGGGACTCGATCCCAGGATCCCGGAATCATGACCCAAGCCGAAGGCAGATGCTTAACGACTGAACCACCCAGGGGCCCCTGTTCATACACTTTAACCAAGGGATTCCCTGCTACAAATCTATCCTAAAAATATTATCACATATGTGCACAAAGATGTAGGTACAGGGCTGTCCATCCCATGGGTGTTTATAATAACAAGGAAGCTGGAAGCAACAATTGTTTGGATTGTTTGATAAATGATGTCCTAAATGTGCAGAAAAGATTGAGACAGATATTAAATGACATGAGAAGAAATAAATACAGATTACATAAATACAGAATAAAATGCTGATAGGGATTATCTTTGGATAGTGGCTATTAAAGATGAATTTTTCATTGTGTATGCTTTAATTTCAAAACTCTCCTTAATATATGTGTGCTTGCTTAAAACCAGAGGAGGAAGACAATGACATATCAATATGTGAAGTTCCGCGTTTATTAAATCCTTTCCCAGATTCGCTGTCTCAGTCAGGATGCTTCTCTCAGGCATGGGGGTGCTCAACTCAGACTAGCTTAAGCAGAAAAAAAAGGGGGGGACAAAGGACTTAACTGGTTTCCGGAGCTGTGCCCCACAGGCACAGACAGCCCCCCAGGTTCCCTCCCTGCCAGGGCTTTGCGGGCAGGGGCCCTCCACCCCATGGTGACCGGGCAGGGACGGGGCAGACAAGCGCACCACTGCCCCTATGTCCACACTGATAACAGAAGGTCTAAAAGGTCCCAGAATATAAACAGGTTGTAGGAATAAAGGTGATTTCTATTTTCTTTAAACCGTCCTGCATCGTTTACGATGAGCACGCATTACTCTTCCACAATTATTAACGGATTTACTGAGCGGGTAGCACTTACCAAACACTCTACTAAATGCTTTATGAAGGCCTTGGGCCTCCGTCCCCCACCTCCTGCTGTCCTCAAACCAAGATGAGGGCCCCAATCTGAAGAGAAGCCATCCCTAAAATAAAGGCCCCGGACCCCAAGGTCACTCCTCCCTCTCCCCACCCGGATACAAAGCAAGCTGAGGATCAGCCTCCGCTGGTCTCGCAGGACGCGGCCGGGGTGCTTTCCTCTGAAGCGCGGCCCCAGGGCTGCTGTGTTCCAGACAGCCATGAACATGCGTGCACACGTCACCGGCACTCCCGGAAGCACCGTCTGGGTTCAGGTGCCTGGGGACACACAGCTGCAGGACAGGAACACTGAACCTGGGCACGCAGCTGACCCCGGCTCACTTTCCTGCACGCAGCCATGTGGCGGGGTCTCCGGATCCAGACCAAGTCCTTGCTGTTTGGTGAGAGTCACGGAGGCCTGGCCCCTGGTTTCTCACCCAGCCCCTGCTGCAGGCCTCACGCATGCGGATAGGGGAGGAAGCCCCACTTCGGTGCCTCGGGGCTACCTCCCCCCAGAATCTGCATGCCCCCCCATGGTCTTCACAAGGCCTATGGGTGCCAGCTCCCCTCCCCAGGCAACAGAGCCCACGTTCCCACCACGGGGAAGGGGCCACCTTCCCCTTGGGGCAGTCCTGGCAGAGGGAAGGATTACTGACCCTGGAATCCTGACATCCCTTAGCCTGTGTGGGAAGTGAGCTCCTAAACTGCTAAGCGTGGAGGGGGCTCGTCGCCCACGGCCCAAGCACAGGCCTCTCCCAGCCCCGCCTTCCCCTGTGCTTCAGGCCCGAAGGCACCGTACAGTCCTGGAGACTCCCAGGCTGCCGGAGTTGGGGAAGCAGCGGCCGACAGCCAAGCCCTGGCCCGGAGTCCTGCCCACACCCTCTTTACGCGCGTGCACAAGAACACGCACTCCTCACACAGGAGAATCTTGGCAAGTAAGCGGATGTCAGTGTGGATGCAGAGAGGCAAAGACTCTGGGGAAAGGGGACACCCCTGTCTCCCACCTTGGTGGGCACCGGAGGACACTCTGGGGTGAGGAACAGGACCCTTGGCTCTGGACACTGTTGGGCTGATGTCCACGCCCACTCTTCCCCCCTCTCTGTGGGCACACATGGGGCCTTGGGCCCCCGCCACAAGATGTCCACACAGGGCTTCTGGGCATCAGGACTGTCCTCAAGTGCCTTTTTCTTCAACCCAGCTTTGGTGAACACACGATTCAGGTATGAATATAGAGACATCTGCAGACGCACGGCTCGTGTTAAGCTGTGTCATGTGTTTATTGCGGCTCAGGGACGGGATGAAACGCTAAGCACAGGCTCCTTGGCGCTGGGTCGGGCTCTGCAGTGAGTGGTCACAGATTTGCGGGCAACTCTTCCTTCTTGCTGGGGCCACCGCTAATGCAGCCCTGCAACACGGCAGAGCGGCGGGATCAGTCACTTACCTAACGCACGCCCACTCCACTCTCCTGCGGTGGACACGAGAGTTTACAACCACAGGACAGGGGCACTGACATTAAGGCTGAGTTCCACACTTCCTCTCCCGGTACGGAGGATGCTCAGTTCACACACAGACACACACACAGACACACACACACACAGCGTCTCAGATTCGCTTTCTCTGTTGCACACTCAATGCAATTGCATGACCCAAGCTGAGTACTGCAAGGGAATGAGGCCCGGGCTCCCCCTGCCCGGGGCGGGCCTGCGTGTGGAGCGTGTCCAGGCAGGACTTTCTGCACAGAGAGACCGGCTGCCCGGGAGACCCACAGCGCTAACTCACGCCTGGCCCCAGTTCTCCGAGGAAATGTAGTCCTGGTGGACATGCCCTGACACACCTTTCCCACCTAAGGCTTGGTTTTCATACTGAACAAAGATGGACTCGAATGTTAGTGGACAACCTCTGAATAAAGTCTTTGAGAATGGACAGGGTATGAAGCAGGGTGATACACTAGTCCAAGGAGGAAAACTTGACTAGGAAAAACATTCTAAGTATCATGCCACCCCAGGAGTCTCTCAGCACCACTCTTGTACGTCCTGTGTGGGAGCAGCCCGTGAGGGAGCAGCGGCCAAGTCAGAGCGGGAGGGTGGAGAGCTACCTGACGTGGTTGCTCCACGACCAGTCTACACGACACTCAGTTCTGAGCAAGCTCGCGTGCCTCCTCGCTGAAGGACAGATCTGTGGCTGCATGTCCGCGAGCCTGTTTGCCTTTGCGCATCAGAACAGAGTGTTCGTACCAACAGCAAACGACATAGTGAGGATTTTTCTGGTGGGGCTCAAATCACACCCTAGGGCTAGAGCTCTTAAATTATGTGAAATATCTTAATAAGAAATCTGAGAAAAGAAAGTTTTTTACTTTGGTGAAATATTTCTTTTAACACATCCCATAAAAAAAAAAAAAAACCCAACATAACAAAATGCTTGTTACCCTTACCCCTCTCCTGAAGAGTCTGTAGAAGAAGCCTCTCTTCGGTCTGGGATACGTTTTCTCTTCTATATTCAACACCATGTCTTCTTCAGGCTCCTCTTCATTGATGTCCTTAAAACAACCCGATTCGATCATCTGCGTCCACACAAGAGCGGGACAGAGAAGGGGAGAGACCCTGCGAGGTCAGTCAGTCATTTCCCGCCCGACACCCAGCTCAGCAGGCGGGGGCCACTCCCATTCCCATGCTTGGGGTAGGGAACACCGCCTCCTCCTCCTCCCTCTGAGTGCACCCCCAGAGCTGGTAAGGACCGGGCGCTGGCCAGGCCCACTCTGAAAGTGGGACCCGGGATGGTGAACTGTCCCCCTCCTGTGCAGGGAGCAGGGCACTGCCTCGCATAATCTTACCTCCAAACACACACACACACACACACACACACACAGGCGCACACACAATTTTTTGCTCCTGGCACTGTATCCAGTATAAACCGGCAGTACCTCATTCTGCCAGGGGATGGAGACACAGCCCGTAGCAAACTGACTGTAGAACGTGTCATCCGTGGTGTCCAGGTAGACTCCTCTCACCGTGGAGAACTGCTCGATATCCACAACGTCCTTACAGTAAATGGCATGCGGCTATGCACCAACAACAAAGAGGCGTTGGCCTCTGGGATGACTGGAGTCATTCTTAGTCTCCTTAATTACTAAGAACACAGTGCATGTGAAATCGACGCATTCACACCATATTTGAGGCCTTTCCCTCCCTCTCGGGAGCTCTCCTCACTCACAAACCCCGTGGACTCCCTCTGGTCCGCAAACCTCCCGAGGCCCCCACCTTTCCCTTTCCTGCAGTGGGAAATGGGTGACAGGCAGGGGCAGGATGAAGGGCCATGGGACCCTTGGCCTCCATGCGAAGCGCCCCACGCAAAGTCTAGGTGAACAAGGGCAGGTCCCGCTTCTCGACCTCCTGTCAGAGCTCATCTAATGGCCTCCAGCCGCCCCTCCTCTGGGACAGGAGCCCTGGCCTGCAGGACCCACCCTGGCTGTGCTGCCCTCAGCGGCAAGCCAGCAGGGTGCGTCCAAGCCTGGGCCGCGGTCCCCTCCAGCCCAGCCGCCTAAGCTCCTGGAAATGGGGAACAAAAAGCACCGGAGTCCAGCTACCGGCCAAACCCTGGTCATGCAAGAGGCACCTGGCAGTTTTGAGAAATACCCTGCCCGCGTGCGGGAACCTGCACGATCCAAGAAGGGACATCCCGTAGGACCCTGGTCAGCACACTTCAGAGCAGCCGCTACCCATTCAGTCCCCACACAGCAGGACCATGGAAGCAAGTGGGGGCCCCACTCAGGAGACAGTCCAGAAGAAGGCTGGGGAGGCCTGAGCCCAGGCTGAAGGCCCAGAACCCCATCCTGCCCCCTGACCCGTTACCATGGGACTCCCCTGTCAGCGGGCCCCCACGGTTCCTCTGGTCACATTCAGTAGAATACCCAGAATGTCAGCCCCAGAGCCCCGACCTGGCAGGCCCTGCCCTAGGCCTCTGAGCACAGCAAGGGGAGTCATCGCTGCTCCCTGAAGCCTGCCTTCCCTGCTCCTCCCAGACCGCACAGCCGTGTCAAGTCCCTGGGGCGCGCCATCCCTGTTCAGTTGTCGGCTGGTCTGCAGGCTGGAGCGAGCATCACAGTGGCAACACCTGGTTTTCTTGTGCTCCCTGCGGGTCCTAATGCCTCCATCTGTGTCTAGCAGGTGGTGGGCACTCAGTAAACATGTAATGTGTGAACTAATTCAAAGGAAGGAGGTACTACTACAACATACTGGAATATGAAAACATAGTAAGTCCTGACTTGTACAACTAAAAATGTTTTAATTGTACACCCCAGTTCCATCATATCCTGCAGAATTATCTCCACCTTTCTGGAACGCACAGGTAGCAGACCGTTAAGAAGACAGCCCAGACTGCTGTCGTTCATTTCTGCTTTCCTCAGCAGGAATGTCCTGCCTGCAAGTGTTCCCACCAAGCACTGACCCAAGCCAGGCCCTGGGCTAAGCATGTGGACACGGCCCCTGAGTAGGCCCCACAGCAGGCTCACAGGAGGCTCAGGTGACCTCCAGGGCACCCTGTGGGCAGCGTGCAGCCAAGACCTAGGAGACATGGAGAGGGGAAGGGCTTCCCAGACTAAAGGCACTGACACAAGAAAGGGGATGCTGTCACACGGAAGGCCTTGCAGGGCCTGACGAGGAGGTCATGTGGTGGTGCTGGGGCTCTGAGCAGGAAGGCCTGTGGGGACCTGTGAGGACAGTGTGGTGAGTGGCCGGGGGCTGGGAGGGGGCACCCAAGCAGAAGCACAGCCAGGCTGCACCAGCACTTCTGCATCTGCTGGAAAATCATGGGGTTCCATGGATCCATTTTCTTGGACACCCTGCTCCTGGGCAACGTACTTACATCAGGACAGAAAGGCGGATCTAACATATTTGCTTCCAGCCTCTTGAAATTAATGTCCTTGAACACGGGGTGAGCTTTCACTTCTGCCGCTCCAGCCTTGCTGCCCAGCCGCTGTTTGGGATTCTTGGTGAGTAACTGCAAGAGGCAGAAATGGAGTCAATTTAAGCTCCTAGGATAGAAGAGAGAACTCGGAAAGTCTCCATAATAATAAGCAAAGAATCAGGGGTAGCAAAGAGCGCCTCCATCTAAACAAAGTTACTCAAATTTCAAAGTTTCAACCAAATCTCCTTAATTCAGATTTCACAAGTTTAGAATATACGATGCTTCAAAAAGGAATGGAAACTAATATAACAGCCTTTGAGCTACCAATAAATAAAGGTCGGCTAAGTAAATCCTTAAGGAAAAAGTTTTAGCCATGTAAAAATTAAGGGGCTCTTTAGAAAGAAATAGGGACTGTCAAGAACTTCACAGATACCATTTTAATGCTAAGTTATGTTTATAATTGGAAACTATTTTAATCTATTCATTAAATAGATCACTAAGGAGCTCAGATGAGGCAAAAATTTGGCAAACCAAGTTCTAGAAATTGTATATTCTTAAAATGGACAGCATCTCTTTCAAAGGTATTCCTTACTCATACGTTCATAATTTCCACCAAATGGGCCCTCATCCACGGTTATCATCAGTCAGAAAGGTTTGGCTGTGCTCAAAGCAAAACAGGACAGATTTGGCTCTACAGCATGGCCAGGCTGCGGCCGGGAAGCTGCCTGACCCTGTCAAGGAGGTTTTAGCACAACACAGCCCGGCCCATGCTGTTTCGTTACAGTGGTGGGGCTCCACAGCTGTGCGAGGAACCGGCCAAGCCTAAGTATGACTCACTATCTGGCCCCTCACAGAGAAGTCTGCTGACCTCGCCTCACAGCCCGCACCCACCGCTCTTCTGAAGAGAAACCAAACTCCCAGGCAAAGAGCAGAGCACATTCTGTGTCTGGCATGTGTGCACTGGCCTGCACACCCCTGCAGCCCTCGCTGTGTGAACTCTGGATGCAGCACACACCCTCCCTCGCTCACCTCCTCACAGCCTGCACATGCACTACGCCCTCTGTCTAGAAGACCCTTTGACTGGCTGAGCCGGGCTCCAGCTTCCTACCTTCAGAGCATGCTCCCTCAGGACACCTGTCCCTCCTGGTGTGACGCCATCACTTGGGGAAGAACTCAGGGCCAGTCCCTCCTGCTGGACCCACACCTCCAGAGGCAGGGCTGTGGGAAATCCCACTCACTGGGGCAGCCCCCACACCTCGCCAGGGCAAGGGCTCGACAAGATTTGCTCAGTGCAGTTATTCTTGGTACACTTTGCTCGTTAAAAACAGATCTGAGAATTCATTGTGATGCCAAATACAATCCCAGCGTCTCAGGGGCTCCAGGACTCCATTATCAACCCTGCTGCTGACACACACCTATCCGATGGCCTTGGACTTGTGCTCAGAACGTCTGAGTTCAAGTTTGCCCATTGACATCCCATTATGGCACGTCACAGAAATCAAACTCTTAGGGGCACCTGGGCGGCTCAGTCCGTCAAGCCGCTGACTCTTGATTTCAGCTCAGGCCGTGATTTCAGGGTCAGGGGCTCTGTGCTCAGCGGGGAGTCTGGTTGGGATTCTCTCTCCCTCTGCCTCTCCCCCAACTCATGCGCGCACGTGCTCTCTCTCTCTCTAAAATAAATAAAATCGGGCTCCTTGGTGGCTCAGTTGGTTAAGCGACTGCCTTCGGCTCAGGTCATGATCCCGGAGTCCCGGGATCGAGTCCCGCATCGGGCTCCCTGCTCGGCGGGGAGTCTGCTTCTCCCTCTGACCTTCCCCCCTCATGTGCTCTCTCTCTCTCATTCTCTCTCTCAAATAAATAAAATCTTTAAAAATAAATAAAATAAATAAAATCTTTTTTTTAATCAAATTCTTAATTTTTCAACTGTGAGGCTAAGAAAACCCCTTAGAAGTCCACTCTGAGGGTCAGATAAGATAATACATCAAAGAGCTTTCAAAACTACAGACAGGTGCCCACATGTCAGGCGCTGCTCTGGCCGCCTGTTTGGGTCAGTGTAAAGAGCCGGCTTTTCCTCAGCCCTTCCTTCTGCTCTCCAACACAAGTACAACACTGACCTCACTCCACGTCTGCTCACTCCTTCAGCATGGGCGCAGCGTGCTGGGAGCAGGCACTGGGCAGAGGAGAGGCAGAGAGGGCAAGGAGCCGTGCACAAGCCTGCAGCCCCCCCTCTGCAAGTGCACTGGGCTCGGGGTCCGGCCCACCGTCCCTGTCCCCGCAGGTGCTGTCCTCTGCAAATGCCCCCTGCCTCCTGAGATGCCCTCTCCTCCAGTCCCCGTCTGCCGGGGTTGAACCAACTCTCCAAGAACCAGATGTCTCCGCTCGCAGGAGCTCCTGAGGATTTGTGTGTCACCAGGCCGGTCACATGCATTCCTGCATCGCCCCTTCCCGGCGAGCCTGTGAGGGCGACGCTGTCACCATGCACACGTCAGACAAGAAACCAGAGGCTGGACAGGGAAGCCCAGAGCTGAGGTGTGGCCCCTGAGCTCTGAGGCCCAACACTGGTTCTCACTCAGGCACCTGCCTTCCCCAGCACCCTTACCAGAACACAGCATCTCTCCATCCCGAAAACCATTGAGCCCTCGTTTCTCTCTTGTTTATGGTACCCATCAAATTCTGCTTTTTCACCATAGTTATTTTTCATGTTTGTTCTAGGCCTGCCATTGAACTGTGAGCTCCTTAGGGGCAGGCTCTACTTCCAACTTACATTTTTACATTCCTGCAGCCCTTATCAGAGTGTCTGGCAGGTGGCAAGCACCCAGTCAAATAGCAGCTTGGCCAGAACGCTGTTAACCCCGGAGGGGCTGGCTAACCACGGCCAGCTCCACGCAGAATGAGCTGGCGGGAGGGAAGGCCAGCCTGGTCCCACTGCTTGTGACAGGACCACTAACACACAACACTCCACATATGGCAACAAGAGGGAAGGGGAAACAGAATCAGTATCTCCAGCCACCCACAGCTCACCTAAGTTACTGCCGTTTTCAGTAACGGGTACGGGGACTGCTGGTTCCGGCAGGCACCCACTTGGGGACCCACGGCCCGCCTCTCTCTGGCCTCCATCCCCACCCCCGCCACTCTCCCCCTCGACTCTTCATGACTGGCCAGCCCTGCTTTCCTCTCCGTGCCCTCCCAGACTTTCCAGGTCTGGCGAGAGGGGCCATGGCTCCAACAAGCAGTGCTTACACCTTTGCCTCCAGTCTCCTGACTTTGCCCTGAGCCCCCTCCGCACCCTCCTGTAACCCACTGCAGTTCCACCCCCGGTTCGACCACTGCCCTGCCTGGCCCCAGCCCCACAGCCTCTGTCCTCTTGCCTTCTCCCCTCTGCGGCACGCAGCCTCGTGGGCCCCTTGACGCACCCAGGAAGGTGGCAGACGCGTGGCGGCCCATCACGTCGGGGTGTCTATTGTGACACGATCCCTGGCAGCCAGTTAAAGAGGAAAGAAACGTGGGCAGACAGGAAAACCTCATTGTTCCTAAGAAACAAGGTTCTCTTTGATCTTTAGTTTCACAGGAATGAGTGACCTTGGCACCACTCTTCCCTCTCAGGGGCACCTTTTGAGAAATCTAACAAGGCACTGCTCTGCTTTGCTCCCATTGGTTGGAGGCCCAATCACGTCACTTCCCAGGCGAGGCCAGGACTCGTGGCCCTCTCCCTGCTGGAGGCTGTGTGGCGGGGAGACTGCTAGTGGAAACGACCCCATTGAGCTGGGGTTCCACCCCAACCTCCCCAGAGCCCTACCCACCATCTTGCAGATAGACTTGGCATCTTCCGAAAACTTCTCCGAATACTGCTCGGTGTCCTTCCTCACTCTTCGGTCCACCTCCTCTCGCTTGACTTTCTCTTTGAATTTTCTGAATGGAGAATGTCCCTCAATCATTTCATATATCAGACAGCCAAGTCCCCACCAATCAGGACTAAATGTATAGTGTTCATTATTGATAACTTCAGGAGCTACATAACAAATACAGGGAAATTTAAGTTAAATTTTGGTTTTTGAATTTTCTGGTAATTAATTCCAAATAACACATTATAAACTTAATGTTTGTTACCACATGAACCCTGGAAATGTGTTAAGGGGCAGAAGACAGACACAGAAAGCCCAAGAGTGTGTGACCCTATTTATATGGAGCAAGCAGAAGAGACAAGTCCATGGAGACAGAAAGTGGGCAAGCAGCTGCCGGACCGGGGCTGGAGGGGTGCTGATGGGCCCGGGGTCTCTTTCTGGTGGTGGTGGTTGCACAGCTCTGTGCGCGTGCTGAAATCCACTCAAGTGTACACTTGGGAGTGGTGGATTTTATGGTATGTGACTTATATTTCAACAAATGGGTTACTGAAAACAGTCTGTGCTATCCCCAGGGCACGAAATGATCAGCCACAGAGTAACACACACAGGGAACTGGCCCTCTAGGAAGACCCTGCCTCCTGAGGAGGGTGCTCCCTCAGACATGCAGAGCCACACCCACGGGCGCCCCAAGGGCACTGACCCCCGCGGCAGGTGACAGCAGACATGGCCCTCGGGGTCCCTCATGTCAGAGGCCATGCCAGGGTCAGGCTGGCACTGCCGGGCGGGGAGCTGATCCCAGGCCAGGGCCTCCCAGTCACAGAGGCTTTGCAATAACCAGGGAACCACGAGTTCACAAGGGCCCGGAGAGGCCAGTGTGCCCAGGATGGTGGCAGCAGCAGAGTGAGGGCCCGTCCTGCCCTGATTCTACCCTCACGCAGCGGCAGGACCTCTGCCGGGCTCACCCCTGGTCTCTCTAAGACAGGAGGGCAGACAGGAGGACTCCTCTGTGGTCCCAACACTGGCCGCCTACAGAGCTCCAACACCACCCGTGCTCCCTCTCCAACTGGCTTAGAACTTCTCTGCGCTGTGAGGACGCGAGCATCCAGAGAGAAAGCACAGGGATCTGGAAGTAGCCGTTCACATACCCATGTAGCCGACGGTCCCCACTCTTCCTCGGATGGTCCCCCCTTCCGGGATCTCCATGGCTAAACCCAGGTCTGAGATCCGGATGTGCCCTGTATGTGTTCAAGCACATTACAAACCACAGGGGGCATGCTGACACATTCATGACAATAAACAGTGGGGAAAAAATCTAAAATTACATCTAATTTCTCCACATTTAGTAAAATACTATGCAGAGCATTCGGGTCCACTAACACAACAGGAAATTAGATTTATAGCTGATTACTAATCAGGAAGCCCTTTAACCATAGACAACCACTTGTTAAGATAGAAGCATTGTGTTTATTATTTAATTTCCTATAACTACCAGATCCATAAATAAAACTATAATGACTAGAGCATGAACTACACAATAGAAAATAAACACTTTCTGTCAGAATACCAGTAGGCTTATATACAGGAACAACAGCAGACGAATAATAAGGAGTTTTTCTCTGAAGAACAAATTGTAACAGCAAAATAATAAATAAAATCAAGGAAACTCACTTAAAAGGCTATGCTATGTGTTAATGCCTTTATATAGAAAGATTTAAATAGTTATTAAATTCAGTATGAAAATAACAAATTATAGAAAACTTTCTTTTGAGAGTCTAGAAAGATAAACCAGCCCTGGAGGCAGATGCCCCACTCATCTTGTTGGCCATGTGTCTCCAGCTCCTGATATCATACCTGCATATAGTTAGGTGCTCAATAAATATTTATTGAAGACATGAATGAACCAACCAATAAGTATGTGCTCAACACTGAAAATCCACAACATGCCATTTGAGGCACTGAATTTGCTTTAACACAGCCTGCATGATGCCTTAGAAAGGAAAATTGACCTTTTCCTTAGCACACCAGCACTGTGAGTCATGTTACTCCTGGCGGCGCCGTGCCTGCATTGCGGGAGGCAGGAGGCTGGAGCCATGGGAGCGGATGCTGGAGCCACACGACCTGGGTTGAGTCCCAGCTCTGCCATTTATCAGTGTGTCTCAGTTTCCTGCTTTCGTACAGGAAGATTTCCTCCATAAGGCAGCTTTTATGTATTTTATGTTTAAGTAGAGTACTGGCATGTTGTGAAATCTTAAGTATCCTTTCTTATTTTTCTTTTAAAAAGTGATTTTTCTCCACTGAGAAATGAAAAGCAAAACTACTGACAAATGGACAAAGACTCAGTTTGAGAACGCATTCTGTCAGTGGGGCCCTGGGGAAGCAGGTGCATGCATACCCTGCTAGTGTGCACACAGACCAGCACAGTTCCAAAGCCAGGAATTTGGCAATGTCTGCGAAACTACATGTGAACCTATCCTTCAGCCTCACAACCCCCCAGGGGCCTATCCCAAGGACACACTGGAAAAAGCAGGAAATAACATGTGCACAGTGCCAGGCATTGCAGCACTAACTGAAAGAACGGACAGCTGGGAACAGCCCGCTACTGGGCAGATCAAGCCAGTCCATCCACAGGCAGCTGGATGAAGAAATAAGGAAAATCTCCATTTAGTGTTGTAGAGCCTCTATGTTACATATTGAAAAAGTGGAGAAAAATATTGTAATCATATTAATGTCATTAGGAATTAATATTTTCAGCATTAGGAGAAAAAAGACACAAATGTGAAATGAAGAAGTAAAAGGAGAATCAGAAATATCAATATGATTCCATGATGAATATTTTCTTTTAAAACAACAAGAACAGATGTGTTCTCTCCCAGAAAAGGCCTGGGAAGAATGACCAGCAGGGCAGCAAGGGCACCTGGCACCCATAATGGGCTCTCTGCACAAAGGACCAAGGCCCCTTGGAGACATGGTCGACTCCAGGTCTCAGGGCACATGCAAGGACATCCTGGAACATCTTCAATAAGAAATAATAGCAGAAAACAAGGAAATCATTAGAGGCTACTGGACATCCACTGGCCAAAGAAGGGACAAAAAATATCATAAAGAACAATTACTCCAGTGGATTAAACCCTATCAAAGTGTTAAAATCCATACGTTCATTAATGATACCAAAACAGAATAAAACGAGAACCTCCTTGATCATCTTGGAGAACAATAGAGAACTAACACAATCTCCTGAAAAGTAGAAATAAAAGGAAGCACTCATGTATTTCACCTGCTTTTCCTGAACAAAGAGGTAAACAAAATCTTTTTTTACAGATGGATCTCAACATTTAAGTGCACCAGGAATGACAGAATTAGAATGCCATCACTTTACAGCCCCAGTGAAATGCTGTATCTTGATACTGATCCTGCATCCATTAAATGAAAAGCTGGTGGGACATGGATAATGGAGAGATCAAGCTGACCAAGGTGTGAAACTCTGAACACCATAAAAGGAGAGATGATCAGTCCTCACATGCCTCCTGATGTCATACAACAGGAAGGACACACCAAGTATGCTCACCAAAAATCAAACCTGGACCAATTCCAGCCTCCAGATCTTAACCACTGGCTTACAGGAAGAATAGGGGAGGCAGGGAACATGTTAAATCCAGCCAAATCCACAACCCGGGAACTTCAATAGGACAAATGTCTGTGGGGGCGCCTGGGTGGCTCAGGCGTTAAGCGTCTGCCTTCGGCTCAGGACATGATCCCAGGGTCCTGGGATCGAGCCCCGCATCGGGCTCCCCGCTCAGCGGGAAGCCTGCTTCTCTCTCTCCCGCTCCCCCTGCTTGTGTTCCCTCTCTCGCTGTGTCTCTCTCTGACAAATAAATAAATAAAATCTTAAAAAAAAAAAAAAAAAGGACAAATGTCTGTGTTCTAGCCTGCCAGGGCTGCCATTACCAAAGCGCCACAGCTGGGGGCTGAAAGGACAGATATTTATTTGCCCGCAGCCCTGGAGATGGGAAGTCCAAGATCCAGGGCCAGAGGGCAGGCCTCCCTGCCTGATGTGTAGACAATGGCTCTCACCCGGTGTATTCACAGCCTCTTTCCTCTGTGCATGTCTGTGCCCTAATCTCCTCCTCCTATAAGAACACCAGTCATATGAAATTAGGACTTTCCCTAGTGACCTCATTCAGCTGTAAGCACATCTTTAAAGACCTTCATTCCAAACACGGCTGACCCTTGACCACCACGGGTTTGAACTACATGGGTGCACTTATGCATGCATTTTTTTCAGTACGGACAGCACTGTAAATGCATTTGCTCTTCCTTATGATTTTCTTAACATCTTTTCTTTAGCTTACATTATTGTAAGAATACCATATATAAGATATATAACATACAGAGGGTGCCTGGGTGGCTCAGTTGGTTAAGCGGCTGCCTTCGGCTCAGGTCATGATCCTGGAGTCCCGGGATCGAGTCCCACATCGGGCTCCCTGCTCGGCAGGGAGTCTGCTTCTCCCTCTGACCCTCTTCCCTCTCGTGCTCTCTTGTCTCTCATTCTCTCTCTCTCAAATAAATAAAATCTTTAAAATATATATATATATAAAACATACAGAATATGTGTTCATTGACTGTTTATGTTATCAGTAAGGCTTCTAGTCAACTGTAGGCTATTAGTAGTTAAGTTTTGAGGGAGTTGAAAAGTTATATGTGGGGGCACCTGGGTGACTCAGTTAAGCATCCAACCCTTGATTTCAGCTCAGGTCATGATCTCAGGGTTGTGAGATCTGGCCCCGTATCAAGCTCTGCACTCAGTGCAGAGTCTGCTTAAGACTCTCTCTCTCTCCACCTCCCCTTCTCAAGCTTGCACACTCTCTCTCTCTCTTAAAAAGAAGAAAAGAAAAATTATATGCAGATTTTTGACGGTGTGGGAAGTTGGTGCCCCTAATCCCCACATGGTTCAAAGGTCAGCTATACAGTCACATTCTGAAGTACTGGGGGTTAGGGCTTCATGACATGAATTTTAGAGAGACACAATTTGACCCATAACACTGGTTTCACAAACAAATAAATGACATAAAGAAGCAGGGAGGAGGAACCTATGAAATTTAAAAAACTCAACAAGATATCAACCAAATGTAATATGAACTTCATGCTACATTCAATACACAACTATAAAAACATTTATGAAATAATTAAGGAAGATTTAAAGCTGATGGGAGGGGCAGAGGCAGAGGGAGAGAGAGAATCTGAAGCAGGCTCCACACTCAGCACGGAGCCCGATGCAGGGCTCAATCTCACAACTCTGAGATCATGACCTGAGCCAAAATCGAGAGTCGGATGCTTAACCGACTGAGCCACACAGGTGCCCCCAAGGAACTGTTAAATACTTTTGGATGTAATGATAGTATTGGGTTTATGTTAAAAAAAAATTAGTATCCTTATCTTTGATATATATTTTAAAGATAGAAGAATACGATGTATAGGATTTCCTTTAAAATCATTGTCAATAATAAAATGCTACTAGTCTTTACAAAGATTCATTGATTATTCTGCTTTTTAGGAATATACCTATTTCATAAAACTGAAGTCTCTCCTATAGAAAATATAGGCATGATAGAACTTCCTTTTTTATCTCAACTACCAGTTAAATTTCACAAACCAGGCCCCTCTTAATTTGTAAGTTTTCAAAAAAGAAGGCTGACATATTTAGAATGGACAAACAGTAAATGCACCTAACAACCTAGAACAGATGATAATCAGCTTTTTTTAAAAGATTTTATTTATTTATTTGAGAGAGAGAGAGAGCAAGCACAGAGGGGGAATGAGGGGGAGAAGCAGACAACCTGCTGAGCAGAGAGCCGGACACAGGGCTTGATCCCAGGATGCTGAGATCATGACCTGAGCTGAAGGCAGACACTTAACTAACTGAGCCACCCAGGCGCCCCTAATCAGCCTTTTTTTAAACTTTATCTTAACTCCAGTATAGTTAACATAGGGTTGTATTAGTTTCGAATGTACAATATAGTGATTCAACGCTCCCGTATATTACTCAGTGGTCATCATGATAAGTGTGTTTGTTCTTCATCCCCGTCACCTGTTTCACCCATCCCCCCACCACCGCCCTCTGGTGACCATCAGTTTGCTCTCTAGAGTTAAGAGTCTGTCTTTTGGTTTCTCTCTTTTTTTTTTCCTTTGTTCATCTGTTTTGTTTCTTAAATCCCATATATTCTTTTTTTTTTATTAAAGATTTTTATTTATTCATGAGAGACAGAGAGAGAGAGAGAGAGGCAGAAGGAGAAGCAGGCTCCCAAGGAGCAGGGAGCCCAATGCGGGACTCGATCCCAGGACGCTGGGATCATGACCTGAGCCGAAGGCAGACTCTTAACCATCTGAGCCACCCAGGCACCCCATATATGTTGGATACTAACTCTTTATTGGATGTATCATTTGCAAATATCTCCTATTCAGCAGCTTGTCTTTTTGTTTTGTTGATTGTTTCCTTTGCTATGCAAAGATTTTATTTTGATGTAATCCCAAGACTTAATTCTTGCTTTTGTTTCCCTTGCCTCAGGAAGCATATCTAAAAAAAAAACATTGTTATGGATGATGTCCATAACATCAATGTCCATGACACTGTAACATGTCCATGAGAAATTACTGCCTGTGTTTTCTTCTAGGACTTTTATGGTTTCAGGTATAACATTTAGGTCCTTAATCCATTTTGAGCTTATTTTTGTGTATGGTATAAGAAAGTGGTCCAGTTTTCCCAACACCATTTGTCGAAGAGACCATTTTGTTCCCATTGCATATTTTTGCCTCCTTTGTTGAAGATTAATCGTTGAAGATTAGTTAAATAAACCCACATATAATTGTGGGTTTATTTCTGGGTTTTCTATTCTATTCTATCGATTTGTGTGTCTATTTTTGTGCCAGTACCATACTGTTTTGATCACTACAGATTTATAATATATCTTGAAATCTGGAATTGTGATACCTCCAGCTTTGTTTTTCTTTTTCAAGATGCTTTGGCTATTTGGGGTCTTTGTGGTTCCATATAAATTTTAAGATTATTTCTTCTAGTACTGTGAAAAATGCTGTTGATATTTTGATAGGGAATGCATTAAATCTGTAGATTGCTTGTGGTAGTTTAGACATTTTAACAATATCTGTTCTTCCAATCCATGAGCATGGAATATCTTTCCATCTGTTTACATCGTCTTCAACTTCTTTTGTCAGTGTTTTAAAATTTTCAGAGTACCGGCTTTTCACTTCCCTGGTTGAGCTTATTCCTAGGTATTTTATTATTTTTGGTATAATTACAAATGGGGTTGTTTTCTTAATTTTTCTTTCTGCTGCTTCATTATTGGTGTATAGAAATGCAACGGATTTCTATACATTGATTTTGTATACTGCAACCTTACTGAATTCATTTATCAGCTCTAGCAGTTTTTTTGTGGAGTCCTTAGGCTTTTCTGTATACAGTATCATGTCATCTGCAAATACTGAAAGTTTTACTTCTTCTTTACCAATTTGGTTGCCTTTTATTCCTTTTCCTTATCTGATTGCTGTGGCTAGGACTTCTAGTACTATGTTGAATAGCAGTGGTGATAGTGGACATCCCTGCCGCGTTCCTGACCTTAGGGGAAAAGCTCTCAGTCTTCCCCCACTGAGGATGATATTAGCTGTGGGTTTTTCATGTATGGCCTTTATCACGTTAAAGTATGTTCCCTCTCAAACTACTTTGTTGAGGCTTTTTTATCATGAATGGATGTTGTACTTTGTCAAATGCTTTTTCTGCATCTACTGAAATGATCATGTGGTTTTATCCTTTCTCTTATTGATGTGATATATTACGTTGATTGATTTGTGAATACTGAACCTCCCTTGCATCCCGGGAGTAAATCACACTTGACTGTGGTGAATGATTTTTTTAATGTATTCTTGGATTCAGTTTGCGAGTATTTTGTTGAGGATTTTTGTATCTATGTTCATCAGAGATACTGGTCTGTAGTTCTCTTGATAATCATCTTTTTAAACTTAATTTCACCACAAATGTCAGGTTATGCTTTACAGACAAAAACAGAAACCTCAACAAGCTGTCTAGATGGGAAATGAAAGAGTTACTTTTATGTTCTATGGTTTCTGGTGGAAATTAGTTCTTGGGAATTTTAAGTGAGTGATACTAAAAAACCTAAAATCAATTCATTTATAAGTCATAAAGTATAGCTAGGATTACACTTTTAAAATTAAAAGAGTAGGAAAACAAAAAGACTAAAAGTCTCCTGAAATCAAGAAAAGCAAAAGAAAGTTCTGTCATTCCTTTCCATTCTTAACAAGAATGTGACCAGGTCCAAGTATCTAAAGAACAAGTAACAGTAGGCACCACAGAAATGACACTTGGCACGTGCTTTGGGACAGGGTGGCAAAGGTTGTGGTGGCCATGCTACCACTGCCAGCCACAGCACACAAGTTCTACTTTAAGGGCATCCATGAGCCACAGCAGCACCTGGATCAGATGCACTGAGACCCTATGTGGAGAACCAACCAGAAGTGAGCCTCAAGGGGCACAAGTGTTTTCTCAGAAGCATTTGCAAACCCTGGTCAAACCAGAGGCTGTTCACTGGGCGGGGGGGGGGGGGGGGGGGGGGTGGTAGGCGCACACAGCTGCTCTCCAGCTGCTCCCACCTGGGACTCTTGCTGAAGCTGGGAGCAGCTGGGAACTAAGCCAAGACTTCTGGGCCCCCAGAGAGTCTGCAGGGACACAGACGCAGCAGGACTCTGGTGCTCCCAGCACTGCAGAGACATAGAGACCCAGGGCCCTCAAAAACAGAGCCAGCTTCACCTTCAAAATGTCAGAAAACAGAAGCTAGCAATCTATGTAAAGAATAACTCATTATGCCCACATTGGATTTATTTCAGAAATCAAATGTTAGTTTAACATTTGAAAATTAACTATATTAACAGAAAAAAGGAGCATCATATAATCATCTTGATAGAAAAAGCACTGACAAAATTCAACAACCATTTGTTATTTTTTTAAAAAAGAAAATCCTTAGGCGCTCCTAGGTGGAAATACACCTCTAAGGGAAAAATCAAGATATGGACCAACAGCAAGAAATATGAGAGAGAAAAATGTTCTTATTGTGGATTTATTTTAATATGCTTCTAAAACTCTAATTATTAACTGAAAATTATGACCAACTCTGCTTCTTGTCTAAATAAAGGGGAATGACCATGTTATCTCTATTATGTTTTCCAAAGAACACGTACCAAAGAGTTTTCTTTTTTGTTGTTGTTTGTCCTGCAACAATGGGCTAAGCCCACATCAACTTTCTGTAACCAAGTCCCTCTTAACAAAGTGCCATGCTTTAGATGTGAAAGCTCACTCACTTACCACGGTCATCGAGGAGAATATTCTCAGGCTTTAAGTCTCTACAAAGGAAGAGACAACAACAAAAAGCTCAATTATTCAGAAGGTGACACTGATTCATCAGCACCCAGCAGAAATAACCACAGATGTCTCCACTATGAGCAGCACCAAGGACAGGGGATAACAAAACCGTCCTTTGTGGGTCAAGTCATGAGTCCTTCACGCCGTCACTGGGAAGGACGAGGGCGCCACAAAGGATTCACCTCAACCAACACCGTGCATGTGACAGCAGTGTGCTCTGTCCAGGCTGCAGATCTGAGACAGTTCAGTGATGGAAGGTACAGCCCCGTAGTAAGGAATTAGTCCTTAATGATCTCGGCTCCATTTCTCTTATCACTCATATACGTTTTAAAATGTCAACAACTGAAAATTTCCCATACCAGAATAACTCAGCCTTGGGGGTCAGACAGGCATGGATTCAAATCCGAGCTCTGCCACTCTTCTGCTGCGTGACCTGAACTGCTCTAGGCCTCAGTTTCCTCCCCTGTACCGTGGTGTGATCCACACGCACCCACTTCCCCAGTGAGGCAGGGTTGGGGGAGCTCAGGCCTTGCGGCAGGAAGCGTGTAATTAACAGCCATGACTGGGGGAGGGATACACAGGCTTTGAATAAATACAGATCACTAAAGAATAAAATATCTTAAATGTAATATTCCAAACTGCTTGCTTCTTCCCTTTGAAAAAAAAAATTTACTTTTCAGAGGATTTATATCTAACTCTGGTTTCAAATGTGGCCCTATCACAACACCCGTGTCCCCCAAGCATCACCCCTCCATTTGTGGCCAGATTACTAGAACCTTCACAGGACAGCAACAGCGGATGGAAGGCAGCTGAACTCGGGAAAGCTCGGGAAAGAGACAGAACCAGGAGCTAGCTGAAGTGAGCCCTCCCAGCACCCCCAGAGGCCGCAGTTAGTGTAAAACCTGCTCAGGCCCAAACCCACACCGTCAGGAAAAGATGAGAAGTGAGCCTGTTAACAGCTCACAGACATGAGAACACACCCTGAGTGGCTGCAGAGGAACATTCCTGTGGGGCCAGCCATGCCACCATGGTCATGGTGCCCTTGGGGAGAGGAATCAGCGGCAAAGGGGCAGGTGGCTTCTACATTTGCATCTTCCAGCCATGTGCATATGCTCCTGCACTATCTGGGTGGGATAATGAGCATTTCTGTTTTTCCCTTTATTCTTTTCTGTATTAAAAAAAATCCTTATAAATGTTATTGAAAACAAAGTAGCCTTCCTTAACATGGAACCTCCGCAGCCTCCTTGTTTACGTAGGCTTACGCTCAACAGCAACACAACACCTGCCCCCCAAATTACTTAAATGTCTCCCGGGACGTCCTAAACCTCACTGCTCCAAGTGTGAGCTACAGAGCTGGTCAGAAAGCCGGCTGTGGGCCAACTGTCCACTTAGCTGTCACCACGCACTGCGGGTCAGCCGGCTCGGAAAGGAAGTGTGTTGTACCAGCGGCGGCAGGAGTAATGTCAGTAACGCACCCAGTGCCCGCCACGCACGCCACGACTGTGCTCACGCATGGCGCAGGCACCATCTCCTATCCGGGCCACAAAAGCTCGGGGAAGCAGCTGTAGACAGAGTGCTGGTCTTGAGGACTAGCAAAGTTCAGTGGGTCACACAGAAGCCAAATGACAAGCTAGAACAAAGTGCAAAGGACCCTTGCTCGCCCTGCCCTGCCCCACACACCGGACACTGGACACATACGAGTCTCAATGTGGTTAGGCCACAATGTGTTGTTGTTTCTTGCACCTTCCTTCAAAAATGATTTCTCCAGGCTTTTGATCAACCTAAAGGCTCTCTTCACAGGTCTCCAAGCGTGGGCGCGGGCCTTGTGTGGAGGACACTGGACAACGCCTCATCACTGGTCAGCCACTCAGCCTCCAGGATGTGGCTTCCTCAACTGTCAAGCGAAGGGATTTCCTAGTGATCTTTTCAGTTCCTTTTGGATTGCAAAGTAATGATCTAATCACGGTCTCAAGCCAGGAACACGAATGAAGGTCAGCATATACAGGAGGGTCCAACCAATGCTGAGATTAAAATAAGTGAGATTGTCTTCTTGCATCTGCACAGTCTTCCACCCCGCAGCCTCCTGACTTGGGCACAGCTTATATACCATTTGTTGTGCTCTCAAGCCATTTAAAAGTGATCTTATACCTCCATGCTCTGGGCCACCAGAAACTCGTTTTGCTGGTTGCGTGTCCATCCTCTTCTTGTTAAAAAAAAGCACTTGCCATTTGGATCCCATTTCCCAGCCTGTCACTGAGGCGTGAATGACCCTGAGAAGTTGATTTCTGGACCCTGAGGCTTGAACCTCTGCCTGGTCCGTGGCTCACCCACATGACCCTCCTCTCGTGCCAGCTCGTGCCTGCGTTGCAGTGCGCTGCTTTCTCCCGGCGACTCTGTCTCCCACTGTGCCCTCACTCCCCGCTGCGTCCTGCCAGTTAGCCAGCCTCTCCTGGGGAGTGAGGCCGTGCGTGAACAGCCTGCTGGGCACACTTTGGGAGTCAGATGAAGAGAACAGCAGGGGTTGGCCCGGCCACAGGTGAAGGTTTCCTAAACCCTGGCACAACTGGAACTTCAGTAGGGTCTAAATACACCATGGTCTTGGGAAACAGCTCCAACCCAATCAGAAGGCATCAGGAGCAATGTTCTTGATCAGGGAAGGGGCAGAGTAAGGGAACCAAAGCAAAAAGAACTTTGGCTCACTCCCTAGTGTTCCCTTAAACATTCTCCAAGATAGTATGACTCACTAGCCTTGGGGCAAGAATCTAAGGTCTGTCCCCATCGCCTGCCATCCCACCACGCACCCCACCTCAGAAGAGCTGACCTCAGAAAAGCTGATCTGCCTAAGAGAGCCTCCAGGGAATGGGTCTGTTAGTTGCTATTGTTTTTAGAGACAGATACCATGAGGCGGAAATTTCCAATCTGGAAGAATGTGGGTCATAGACAGATGAATGGTTTTTTTAAACGTTAAGATCTGCCATTCTTACTTTAAATTAACTTCCATGTTTCAAAAATGATGGAAACAAGAGATTATCCTTTGAGCACGTACTGTAAATGGTAAGCATATCTCCATTTCTGTGTTCATTTGCACGCTACCCTTCTAGCCTCTAGGTTAAAGGTTTCCTGAGAACAAGGACTGCAAAATCCAGTTTGTTCCCCGGAGTGTGTGTCTAGCACACAACTAAGAAGTGTGTATACATCTGGGACTCAATATATATTTCTGGAATGACTGAAAGATCCTTCTTGCTACTGAAAAATCTAACATGATAGCAATAATCTGTACTGTCTAATGGCCTGTATGAGCCAATTCACTACTGAAAAAGTATAGGTCCAAAGTGTTTCCTTCCCACCGTTATTCTACACACCAACTGCCTTCTCCTTACAGTGGATAATATCATCTACTTCTCATTCCACAACTCATTCACTAGAAAAAGAGATCCAAAGCACAGCTAAACACCCATTTCCCTTAATAATTTCCAACTATAGCATTCCAGACAGGTGGAAATGTCATTCTGTTTAATTAAGGAAGAGCTCTTGAGAAATGTAACAAAACAGTAAAACTGCCAAGTCAAGATTCAGGTTTTCCCTCCTGTTACGGGAAAGAGTGAGGCACAAAGCACAGAACACAAGACCTGGATCAGTAACCATCACTCACGAGGAAAGTGACAAGAGACAATCTCTCGTAACTATAAACAGACAGGGTCCCTCAAAAGACCTTTGGGTAGATACAATGACAATGTGCCAGAGTGCTCTACAAATAAATGCTGTTCCTATGTATTGAGACCATATCCAGCAGCGTTTTTTGTTATTTATATCATACTGGCGGATTTCTTCAAATACAGAGTTACATGGAAACAAAGTAAAAGGGCACGTGCCACGAGTTCAATTTGTTCATCATTAATAAAATAAAACTCTAGAAATCGTCTTGATTGAACAACTACTTTTACTGTTGTGAAAATTAATAAAAGGAAACTTCATTTAGAACGGAATCTGGAGAGCGCCTGGGTGGCTCAGTTGGTTGGGCGGCTGCCTTCGGCTCGGGTCATGATCCTGGAGTCCCGGGATCGAGTCCCGCATCGGGCTCCCTGCTTGGCGGGGAGTCTGCTTCTCCCTCTGACCTCCCTCCTCTCATGTGCTCTCTCTCTCTCTCATTCTCTCTCTCAAATAAATAAATAAAATCTTTAAAAAAAAGTCTGGAGGCAGGCAGGGGGAGCTCCGGCCGACCACTCCCGGTCAACTGCAGACCCAACAGGAAGGAGAGGCACCTCGCTCCGGGAAGCTGCCATAGCTACACTCAACCATCCCAGCAGGAACAAGGAAGGTTTCCTCCGCCCCCACCAACAGCCCAGCCAATGAGAGACTGCCACAGCCCGGCCAATGAGAGACGGTCACAGCCCGGCCAAGGAGACACTGCCACAGCCCGGCCACTGAGACACTGCCACAGCCCAGCCAATGAGAGACTGCCACAGCCCAGCCCAGGAGAGAGAGTCACAGCCCGGCCAATGAGACACTGCCACAGCCCAGCCAATGAGAGACAGTCACAGCCCAGCCAATGAGAGACTGCCACAGCCCAGCCCGAGAGATAGTCGCAGCCCAGCCCATGAGAGACTGCCACAGTCCAGCCAATGAGACACTGCCACAGCCTAGCCAATGAGAGTCCACTACACTTCCAGCTCTCAGTTTACCCCAATGGACTTTTCTGTTTCTAACAGCCCACCGCACCCCCCTTCCTCTATAAAAGAGCCTCCCCTCCTTTGTTCTGCAGACTCACCTGTGGTTTTGCTTTTATTTGGTTGGCCCACATTGCAATTCTCTGCTAGTCCTGAACAAACCTATTTTTGCTGGGGAAATAAGGGCAGTTTTATTTTAAGTTTAACAGTAGTGAGCATTTGACAAGTGCTGTCTAAGCACATGCGGGCATCAGCTCAGTAGATGCAGGACCTCAATGGTCTCCATGAACACACTGTTTGCAGAAAACCGGAGC